CATAAAGTTCTTCAATGTTTCCTTGTCTATTTCTATCCCTTTACTCTTCCACATGATTTTTTTCTTTTTCCCAGAAGGATTCACATTTATTTGTTCAAATACAGTACCTAACACTTGCTAAACACGCATTTCTCACTGGCTAGTCACATTTCCACAGGCAGTCAGTTCACAGAATAGGGCCCATTCCTTGCCAACTGGCAAGGGTAGGAGGTAGCAGAGGGCTCCATATGAATTTTAACATCGTTCCATAAGAATTCTAATTCTGGAACCAGCAGTTGGTGTAATGGCTATGTCACTAGACTCCCACATTGTCGACCGGAGTTCAAGTCCCATACCCAATGGCTTAAACTCATGCTAGGCGTATGTGCGTGCGTGCCCAAAATCCCAAGAAGAGAATGGAGGAGAAGGGATTGCGGCATGGCCACCCCCCCCAGGGGGGTGATTGCTTTCTGTCTCTCTGTTTTTCTGGCGAGCACAGGCACCCTATAACAAAAACCTCTCCAAAAAATTTCTAATTTCAAAGACAAAAAATTTTATTGTAGTTATTGGATTTGCATTGCATTTATATTTACTTTAGGAACAATTGACATCTTTATAATAGGAAATCATTTTATCCATGAAGATGGTAAACTATATATTATTACCTTCAATAAAGTTTTTTTCTATTGAAAAGATTCCTAAGTATTTCACAGGTTTTTTGTTGCTATTTTTTAACTATATTTTTCTAATTATTTCTCTTTGGTTTATAGAAATATAACTGATTCTTGTCTGAGTTTGCTCTCTAACAATCCTTCTAACGTCTAACTCTGTTTCTGCAAACCTTCTTAGACTTGTGTAGACTGGCTTTTTATTTGCAATGTGTTACAACTTTATTTCTTCCTCTCCAACCCTTACACCTTTTATTTATTGTTCTTGCATCACTGTGCTGACTAGGCCCTCCCAACCAATGTATAAGAACAGAGATGGCATTCACCCTCCCTAACTGGTTCCTAACTTTTTTTTTTTCTTTTTTTGGAGAGGTTTTCACTATAGGGCGCGTGCGCTCGCCAGACAGACAGAGACAGAGAGACAGAAAGCGAGAAATCACCCTCCAGGGGGGATGGTCACGCCGCAATCCCTTCTCCTCCATTCTCCTCTCGGGATCTTGGGCATGCACGCACACGTGCCTGGCATGAGTTTTAAGCCACCGGGTCCAGGACGCGAACCGCGGTCGACTACGTGGGCGTCCGGCGACATAGCCATTATGCTAACTGCTGGTTCCCACTCGTTCCTAACTTTAAAGGAAGTCCTATTTACGATTAGTTATCTTATTTACTATACGTATTTGATAGAGACATAAATCATGATGTCTGTTACATTTTTTTCACAAATACTGACTTGTATCAATTGTTCTTTCTGCATCTGCTGGAATATTCCTGTTTTTAATACCTTAATCTGCTCATGTGACAAATTGCATCAATAGGTTTTTATTAATGTTAAACTATCCTTGTATTTATGAGATACACTATTTAGTCATGTTGTATCTGATGATGAAGGTATACTTTTTAATACTCAATTTCATCTGTAAAAGCTGTAGTTAGGTTTTTGGGCATACACCTACCCAACATGTTTTTCAAGCCACCAAGACCAGGATTCAAAACACATGGTTGGCCATGTAGGATCTAGCTTTCTTAACCACCAGGCCACAGAGCCTACCCTGTCGTTAGTATTTTTGCGTTAATGTTCGTAAGTGAGAAATAGTACATCATTTCTCTTACAGAATCGTTACCTCATTTGAGTACAGTTACACCAGTCTTATAAACCACTCTGGATATTAGTATCTCGTCTTCTGTTTTCTGGAGCAGCTTTTTTACATTAACCATTTTTCATCTCTTTGTTCTTTTGTCCAAATTGAGACGCCAGAGACCGCTAGTGCCAGCAACTGGTGGCACAGACCGCTCCATCTTATTAAAAGCTGGTGAACAGAGAGCCTTCAGTACTTAGAGCAGGGGCTGTTCCTTACTCTCTCACAGGGCTCATAGCATTTTCAGTTTAGTTTTTGGTGTTTTTGTTTTTTTTTTTTTAATTTTTGCCAGAGGGCATGCGTGCTTACTAGAGAAAGAGAGGTAGGGCCAGCAAGTGGCATTGTGTTTGAGCCACGGACTCTTAACACAGTTGACCACGGTTCAAGTGCTGGACCTGAAGACTTGCTCTCTCACTTTCCTCTCTGTCTCTCTCTAGTCAAATTAAAACTGATAACGATGATGATGATGAATAAAATTCAATAAAAGAATTCTTTGAAAGAGAAAAAAAAGAAGAAAGAGAAAGGTAAAGGGAGAAAGCAACCCCCATGGGAAATGGTCGCACCAAAATCCCATCTCCTCCACTTCTCCTTCCTTTTGGGATTTGGGGCACACAGGCACCCACATCTATTTTTTACAAGCCACCAGGTTAGGGACTTAAACTCCAAGGTCAGCCATGAGGGATCCGGCTGCCTTAACCACCAGCCATGAGCCGGTCCCCACATAGCTCCCGTTTGTTAGCACAGTTCAGTAGTGGGGAAAAGACGAGGCCAAGGGAGATGGAGGAAAAGAACAGCTCGCCCCAGGGGCAAAGAGGCTTGTGCAGACTTCATCTGAGTGGCAAAAACCCACACCAGCCTTCCTGTGCTCCTCTTCCACGAACCAGAATCTACAGAATTCACTGTACTTTTGTGTTTGTTAGTAAACCAGGAACTATCTCTGAAAGAAATAACAATTAGCATCTCTTCTTAGCTAAGATAGGCGTTCTTCAGTGTTCACTTTAGTGGCACCAACAGGCTCGGCATTTCTGAATTTGTTTCAGTCCTTTGGTCACAGCAGGAGAGGGCTTTACCTTTCGCTTACTTGAAAAAGAGTCCCTAGAGTCTTATAAATATCTAAGTAGATTTAACCTAAAGCTGTCATTGGGAACGTGAACAAAAAACGTATGTTCAAGGATTTTAATCGCTACAGTGCTCATAACGGGGAACTGTTGGGAGTGATCTGCATGTTCATCAGTAGGGGATTTGCTACAGAAATCGGTGCATACACAGAATGGAACCCCGCATGGCCATTAAAAAGGGCGTGGTGGACCAATGTGTCTTGACATGCAAAGGTTTCTAAGACATGTTAAGTAAAAAGCGTCCTGCGCTCTCCAGCATCATGGTGCGTCTGTGCTTGCTGTTTGCTTTTTTCTTTTTCTCTCTGCTTGTCACTTAACCTGTGTCAGTGTGTTAGCCTGTTAGATGGACTGTACTCCTAGGCATCTTTGAGTGATCCTTTCAAAGGACAAAAATAAGTTACCGTATCAAACGTATGGGGGCCGCAAACAAGCAGTAGCAAACATTCAAACTGAAGCCTTCATTTTCCTATGAGTAAATTGTCTGGGTATCAACAGAGACATTCCAAATACTATTATTGGCCTTAAATGTACATGAAAAGTTAGCACCATTCTTTTTATATAAATATTTAGAAACTTCTCAAGAGTTTCACTTGTGAACATTTAGAGATGGAGTCTTCGAATCCATTCCTCGTGTTATTTTCTCAGCCTTTTTCACCCTGTCACCCAGCAGCATCCCACATCCCCAGCAGGGCACAGTGCCTCTGCTCCCCCACCTCCCCCAACCAAGGGCTGTGCATGGCAGGAGGGGTAATCTGCCCTCCCTCTCCCATGGATTGCCTTACAAATAAAGCTTTTTTTTTTTTTCTTTCACAGAGAAGTTTTTGTTCACCAGAGAGACAGAGACAGAAAGCAAGAAATCATCCCTCAGGGGAGATGGCCATGGCACAATCCCTTCTCCTTTCTCCTCCCAGGATCCTGGGCACACATGTGCCCAGCGTAATTTTGAAGCCACTGGGACCGGGACTCGAACCTAGTTGGCTATGTGGAAGTCCAGTGACATAACCACTATACCATCTGCTGGTCCCACAAAGAAAGCTTTTTGGGGGACTATCTAACATGAACCATCACCTCTGTCCTCCCACACCCCAAGTCCCAGCTGGCATCTTGACCACCAACAGACATTGTGACTAACTAGGTGAATGTGAGGAGACAACACATACAGCTCCTAACTGACACAAGATTGAATTCATCTCACTTGTCAAGTGGCAGGACCGAGGACCTCCTCCAAGCAAGGCTAGATCAGAAATTCAGAAATGCCAGTCCCAGGTAGGCCTCACCCTTTTGTGAAGGAGCTCTTATTATTCTTCTAGCCTATGGAGTCATAGCCTCTGGACCTGCTTCAGTGTTTCCCTGAGCACGAACTGTTGGCTTGAACTCTTAAACTGTTCAAAACACAAAACATCAGTGCTTCTCACACACAGCTTGCTCTGGGGCTGACCCTGTGACCTAGTGGTTAAGGAAGCCAGAACCCATATGGCCGACTGTGGTCTGAATTCCAGCCCCATGACTTGGAAAACACATGTGCGTGTGCTCAAGATCCCAACAGGATGGAGGGAGAGAGGAGGAGGGATTGTAGTGTGACCACACTCCACTGGGGGTACTTCCTCCCTCTCTAGCTCCCTCTCCCCCTGGAGAGCATATACACCCTGAGGCAAAAAAAAAAAAAAAAAAGGAAAGAAAAGAAAATCACATGGGGACAGCAGATGGTATAATGGTTACATTGCTGGACTCCCACATAGTTGACCACAGTTCAAGTCCCAGACCCAGCAGCTTAAAACTCACGCTGGGCACGTGTGTGTGCTTGCCCAAGATCCCAAGAGGATAACTGAGAAGGGATTATAGCATGGCCATTTCCCCCAGGGGGTGATTTCTTGCTGTCTCTCTGTCTCTCCAGAAAGCACACCTACTCTATAGCAAAAATCTTTCTAAAAAAAATTTCAAAACCACCACTAGTAACATTTTCAGCAACATTGTCTCATCTTTGTCTGCCCCTGTCTTGCTTGGCGACTGCTCTTGCTAAATGAATAAGGAAGACCAGTTCACACCGTTGTCACACAGGTGTCACCAATGGCTGATCCCAGATCAAGGCCATCATTCTTGTGTCCAGGCTGACTATCCCTTATCCAAAATGCCTGGGACCAGAAGTGTTTCCAATTTTGGATTTTTTTTTTCTTTCAGATTCTGGGATGTTTGCATAAACATAATGTGATCTCTTGGGGAGAGGGGCCCCAGATCTACACAGGAAATGATTGATATTTCATATACACATTATACACTAGCCTAAAGGTAACTGTAAACAATATTTTGACTGTGGGCTGTCACCTGACGTCAGATGTGGAATTCATGACGACACGACTTAGAACATCTGATTCTGAAGCGTTTCGGGTTTCAGATTTTTTATTTTGGAGCATTTTCAGTTTCTGATTTGGGGGTTAAGAATGCTTACCCTGTAAGAGGCGATCAATTGACAGGGCTCTAGAAGTAAATTGCCCACGTTCAGATGCCAACTGAGCTCTGGAATTAGATTGCCCACATTAAACTTACTGGCTGTAGAACTTCGAGAAAAGTTATTTCTGAAACTCTCTTTTTCTCAGAATAATACATGCACATAATTTTTAAAGTTGAATGACACTGCAGACTTACAAGAAAATAGTAGCCTCCTGCTCTCCCCTACTCTCAACTTCTACTCCACGAAAACAATACTTTTTCACTTAACTCTTTCATTGTTTACTTAACTCCATGTTCCTACATAACATGCTAAACTGCATTTTAATTATTTTTTATTGTAAGTTTTACCTAAATTATTAGCAATTGTCCACCAGTTTTCCAGCTCCTAAAATTTTGTTAACTACTATTGTTTCTCCCTTACTTTTTGCCCTTATGATATATTTGAGTAAGTGTGTGTGTGGGTGTGTGTATACATATATATTTGTTCGCTTTATTTTGCTATAGGGCATGTATGCTTGCCAGAAAAAGCGCCCCCCTGTGGAATGGCAACAGCGCAGTCCCATCTCCTCCATTCTCTCCTCCTCAGGATTTTGGGCACTCATGTACACAAAACCTGATGTGTTTTTTCAAACTGCCAGGTCTGGGACTCAAACCACACGGTTGGCCATGTAGGATCCAGCCACCTTATCCACCTCGCCATGGCTGGCCTGACCTGTACTTTATTTTTCCTTCACTATCGGTTTAGTTCTGTTCAGAGAGACTAATCAGAGTATATGTGTAATTTACTCTATTTCTGGGCAAGTTAATTAACCTCTCTGTGCCTCAGTTTATTCATCCAAGAAATGAGAGAAAATAACGGTCCCTATCTGCGGGCTGGTCTGAGGAAGTCAGAAACCCCATCTGTGACCTAACTTTGCCTGTCTCACACCATCCCGCACCTTGGCGCACGTCACAGAACATCAGCCCCGTTTCCAGTAGCAGCAATACCTTACGGGGGTGCCTGCAGGGGGTGTCGTCGCAAGTGAGCCGAGCCTACCTATCGGGGAAGGAGGCCGGAAGAGTCTTTTACCCCAGTTCTGTGAGGTAAAACGTAAATATCTTCAGGGAAAGGGGGAAAAGACCTTAGCTTGATAGCAAGATTTTTTTTTTAAATGACATTAGTCAAAACTCATGTCTTTTGTGGGATTGCAAATGACTTGCAGACAACTAAGTTGTGGAAACCTCACTGCTAATGAAACTGGTGTTCATTTCCAATTGTATGGCTGCTTTAATCAATTATTTCTCCGCTTATTATGAATTCAGCAAGCCCGAAATACAATGAACTGTAGTCGATAGCCTTAGTGGAGCTGCTGCTCTCATTTAACCAACAGCTCTTTAGTTAGCACGTACCAGCGATCCGAGCTCTCTGAGCCTTCTGTCTAGATCAAAACGGATCAATCAGTAAACAAGCAATATCGAAAACCAGTGCGATCTCGGTAGGCCTCATCCACGAGAGAATGACAGGGCAGATGAACTGTCCACTCAGCTCTAAAACGAGCTTAGATTCTTCTTAGAAGCACCACTTTCTTAAACCTTGATTCTGATTTGTAACCCATTTCCAGAAATGCTCGACAGTACACATGCCCAGTTCATACATCAGATAAATTACCCACTCTTGCTCACGTCCAGCCAGATGCAAAGACAGAGACTCGGCTCAGATCTCAAACCCTTAAAGCCTTGTCCAGCCCTGGGGGTATCTGCCTTAGTGGTGGGCCATTCAATGACCAAAGCCAATGAGAACAGTGAAGACACAGAGAGCTTAAAACACACACATGCACACACACACGTGTGCATGCACATGCACACACATACTACTGAGTCCTTTTAAGGAGTTCCTTTTAAATTTCTTAGAAAAGCTTAATATGATAAAGGTTTAAGCAGTGACCTCCCTTCTCTCGTTCTTCTTTTTAAATGTTTTTAGAATTATTTTTTAACTTTATTTATTTGACCAGAGAAAGACAGAGCGGGGAGAGGGGAGAAAGCAAGTTGCCAGGTCTAGGATTCGAACTGCTGTCAGCCATGTGGGAGTTCGGTACCCTTATTCACCACGCCACCTGCCTGTCCCGTCTCACTCCTGCTTTAAGAAGTTGAGGTCACTCTCGCCCTGCAGGTCCCAGCTAAGACTTTTACTCTGCTCTTACTTTCCCTGAGATGTAGGCCGGTTCCCAGTGCTTGGTGATCTCAAAACTGGATAAACTTAACATTCAGATCACACAAATTGGCACTCTAGTTTCTAACTGATAAACAAAAGGTAAAATGTTAAATGAAGGAGAATGAGTAGAAAGTTTCCCTCTGTCAGGTGGCGTGGTCGTTAAGACACTGGATTCCCACATGGCTGACTACAATTCGAATCCCAGACCCATGGTTTGAAAATCACAATAAATAAATAAATGTATTTAAAAAAAAAAAATTTCCCTTTTCAGGGCAAGGAGTCTCCCTCGCCTGACCCAACTCAACATCCTCAATCCTCTGCACAGAGTCATGTGGCAAAACGGGTTAATGCGTGAACTTTTGAAAGCTTCGAGCATTGCTTATTGGAGCAAATTTATAAATAAATCATTCTCCAACAGGAATGAAGCCCTGCTGTACAGCTCTGTGCCCCGGCACTTAACTATCTTCTGTTTAGTTAACGTGTTCGTCTTCTCTCCTGCCAACTTAGTTTTTGAGGCCAGTGACCAGTCCCCACTTCCACGCCTATCCCAGGGGCAGGGCTTGCACAGGCAGGGCACAGGACAAGTGCTGGGCTCAGGCACACCCCGGTGTGATTAACAAACACGGTGACTGCCAACGTCCTCTGCCCTGCAGCAGGCCTGGCCGAGTGGTACCCAGCAGATCCTGCTCCCCCCAGCATGGCAGCAGCTGACCGGAGTGGCCACCCACACGTCCGTGCAGCATGCCACCGTGATTCCCGAGACCATGGCGGGCACCCAGCAGTTGGCCGACTGGAGGTAAGAGGAACCCCGTCAGGGCGAGCGGGGTGCTCACGTCCAGCCAGATGCAAAGACAGAGACTCGGCTCAGATCTCAAACCCTTAAAGCCTTGTCCAGCCCTGGGGGTATCTGCCTTAGTGGTGGGCCATTCAATGACCAAAGCCAATGAGAACAGTGAAGACACAGAGAGCTTAAAACACACACATGCACACACACACGTGTGCATGCACATGCACACACATACTACTGAGTCCTTTTAAGGAGTTCCTTTTAAATTTCTTAGAAAAGCTTAATATGATAAAGGTTTAAGCAGTGACCTCCCTTCTCTCGTTCTTCTTTTTAAATGTTTTTAGAATTATTTTTTAACTTTATTTATTTGACCAGAGAAAGACAGAGCGGGGAGAGGGGAGAAAGCAAGTTGCCAGGTCTAGGATTCGAACTGCTGTCAGCCATGTGGGAGTTCGGTACCCTTATTCACCACGCCACCTGCCTGTCCCGTCTCACTCCTGCTTTAAGAAGTTGAGGTCACTCTCGCCCTGCAGGTCCCAGCTAAGACTTTTACTCTGCTCTTACTTTCCCTGAGATGTAGGCCGGTTCCCAGTGCTTGGTGATCTCAAAACTGGATAAACTTAACATTCAGATCACACAAATTGGCACTCTAGTTTCTAACTGATAAACAAAAGGTAAAATGTTAAATGAAGGAGAATGAGTAGAAAGTTTCCCTCTGTCAGGTGGCGTGGTCGTTAAGACACTGGATTCCCACATGGCTGACTACAATTCGAATCCCAGACCCATGGTTTGAAAATCACAATAAATAAATAAATGTATTTAAAAAAAAAAAATTTCCCTTTTCAGGGCAAGGAGTCTCCCTCGCCTGACCCAACTCAACATCCTCAATCCTCTGCACAGAGTCATGTGGCAAAACGGGTTAATGCGTGAACTTTTGAAAGCTTCGAGCATTGCTTATTGGAGCAAATTTATAAATAAATCATTCTCCAACAGGAATGAAGCCCTGCTGTACAGCTCTGTGCCCCGGCACTTAACTATCTTCTGTTTAGTTAACGTGTTCGTCTTCTCTCCTGCCAACTTAGTTTTTGAGGCCAGTGACCAGTCCCCACTTCCACGCCTATCCCAGGGGCAGGGCTTGCACAGGCAGGGCACAGGACAAGTGCTGGGCTCAGGCACACCCCGGTGTGATTAACAAACACGGTGACTGCCAACGTCCTCTGCCCTGCAGCAGGCCTGGCCGAGTGGTACCCAGCAGATCCTGCTCCCCCCAGCATGGCAGCAGCTGACCGGAGTGGCCACCCACACGTCCGTGCAGCATGCCACCGTGATTCCCGAGACCATGGCGGGCACCCAGCAGTTGGCCGACTGGAGGTAAGAGGAACCCCGTCAGGGCGAGCGGGCGCGGCGGATGGGAGCCCTGTCCACCACTGACACACAGCCGCCCGAACCTCCGTCCCTGGCTTACAGAGAGCATTTTATAAACTGAAAGTATCACGTAGACTGCAGCTACCGTGCACAAGAAGGTACTTTTAAATGGTGTACCAGGATGTGGGAAAGTCAGTGTCATTAATTTAAGGTCACTTGTCGTTTTCCACCAAAGTCCAGTTACACCATTTCATCAGCGTAATTCACCACATTTGGCTAGAGATGATTTTTGATCATTTCTCATCATTCAATTCCTCTCTCAGAAAACAAAGGTTTGTCCTCTGATAGAACACAAAAGAGAGTCCTGAAGCCCTAAACAGTTCTAGAAGGGGTTCTCGAGGTGCTCTGAGCCCTGGGCACGGCAGAGTCCAGCCAGCCTCCCCAAAGAAGCCTCGGCCCAATGGGGCTGAGCTGGCACCGTGAAGTCTGGTATGTTCTTTAAGTCAGGCTCCACTTCCCTCAGACCCCAGAGGCCACTGAGCCCTGCCAGCACCCCGTGCCCACTGCCTGTCTCCAGAACTCCACCCCCAGCCAACCCCAGAGCATGTTCTGCTGTCCTCGGGCACTTTCACTTTTCCTGTACCTCTCCCCACACTACCACCATACCCCCTCGCCAGCTCTGACACAGGTGGCAGCCCCTAGGTGGTCCCTCACCCCCTGACTATCTCCATCCCACTCAGGGAACCTCCCCACAGTCCTTCTATGACCTGGAAGACTCCAGGGGACAGGGTGGACGGGAGGTATAAGGCCTAGCCAATCCTCGAGCAGCTTCCTTCTCTCTATTTAAATTTTTTTTTTTTGGAGAGGTTTTTGCCATAGGGCATGTGTGCTCACCAGACAGAGAAAGAGAGACACAGAGACAGAAAGCAAGAAATCACCCCCCGGGGGGATGGCCATGCCGCAATCCCTTCTCCTCCATTGTCCTCTCGGGATCTTGGGCACACACGCACACGCACCCGGCGTGAGTTTTAAGCCACCAGGTCCAGGATTCGAACCGTGGTTGACTACATGAGAGTCCAGCGACATAGCCATTACGCTAACTGCTGGTCCCTCCATTTAATTTTCTGAGTAGTGAAAATGAGAACACGCAGCTTGTCTCTACCCCCCACTCACTGACAGCACCCCTAGGCCCACCCTGCTCTTTGGAAACACTTGAAACCAGGGAAAACTGGGGTTAGTGGTGGCTCGGGCAAGTCACTTAACCTCTATGAGCCTCAATTCCTTCTTCAGTGAAGTGGGGGTGCTAATGCCTACCTCACAGACTTGTTAGGAACTTTAAATGAAGACCTTGGGCTGTATTTAACGTGCGTCCTAGCAACGCCCCGGACAAGGCAGGCGCCAAGTAAGTCTATCACCCTCCTTCCACTGCATCATGCTCAGGGAGGCCACCCTTCCTCCTGCAGCTCATTAGGGTCCAAAACCAAATGGAAAGCTGCCTGACCAATTGTTGTTTTTCTTTTGCGCCCCTTTCTCCTAGAAGATCACAAATGTGCATACTCACATTTTCCTTTGTCTTTCAGTATTTATAGCTCCTTTAATTTCAGTAATACTCATATGCTCATTCATGCATGCATATTCTTTCGCTCTTTTTCTTCCCCCCAAATATTTGTCATAGGGCACTTGTGCTCACCAGAGAGGTAGAGAGAGAGGAAAAAAAAGAAAGAAAGCACCCCTCTCCCCCTCCCCCCTCCCTTTTCCTCCCCTTACTCAGGAGGCAATGGCCATTTCACAATCCTATCTCCATTTTTCCTCTTGGGCATCCACACACATGTATGTATCTCACTTTTTTTTTTCAAGCCCCTGGGTCTGGGACTTGAACCACACACAGTCAACCACATGAGATCCAGCCACCTACACCACCATGCCACCAGCTGACCCTGCATGCATAGCTTTGTCTTCTTCCTTCCTCCTTCCTTTCCGTTTTCCACCTCTTACTTGGTAACCACAGAAACATCTAAAGCCAACACACATTCTTCCCAGTCTCTGTCCATTTCATGTGTGGGTCAAACAATATCCACAGTCATGACTAATACACAGAAGGGAAGTACCAACACCGAACCGCGGCCAGAGAAAGAACTGCACAGTTCTGCAGGAAAAACATCAATAACAAAGTAAAGAGGGCATAGCAGCAGTTTCCAAAGACCATCTTAATCAGGAATCCCAATGGCGCCACCAATGGTGCTGGTCTGCCAAGCCACACAGCCAGGGTGCATGGCACAGCTGGGATGGGTGGTGAGCAAGCCAGTGAGGCTTTGTGTTGCAGCTGCTCCCCTTTACTCGCCTTGCTGCTTGGGCGCCACCTGTCGATCAGTGGTGGTATTGGATTCTCATGGGAATGTGAATCCTATTCTGTGTTGCAATGTGGCAGTGGAGGACAAGAGGTGCACCTGGACATGGTGCATTTGGGTCATCCCAGAACCAACCACCCCCCGTGGCATGGAGGGATTGTCTTCCATGAGGCCAGTCTCTAGTGCTGGGAGGTTTGAGACCGCTAATCTAAATGCTTGAACGGCTCTATCAAAATCATAAAAGTTCATCTACTTTTTTTCTTATTCATTCTTCTCCCCAAGATGCAAATGTACAACTTTATGATTTTTTAAAATTCAAATGAATTCTCCTTTACCTTTTAATTACATGTTAAATGGCTTTATAGGCAACAAATCAGCACTTTACCATTGCTATGGGCCCAAATGGAACCCATTTTCAGGATGAGGTTGTCAGTATTCCTGTGGACATGTTTCCGTCACCACTTTTGGGTTAATATCAAACCCTAGTCCTGCCTAGTCAACCTTCTCCCAATCTCTTTGTTCAGCAATCAAGAACTTAATTGATCAGCTACTGCATGACCTGCATTGTGCTACCTATGGAGGGAATTCAAAAGAACTTAATGTTAACACTCGCTAACTGCTAACACTCGCTAACTGCAGAAAAGGATGATTCGAGGTCTCCAGAGTTTTGTCTTTCACAAACTATGGTTTCCCGTTAATGGAAGCCCTACATCCCTCAGAGTGAAATAACACATTGAAGACCCTCCATAAATTCTAAAATAAAATACACATATTCTTGGTCAGCGTAATCAGCCCAGGGACTTTAAAAGTTGGAAGGAGTATGTATCTCCTCTCTCCAGTACTTAAAATCTCTGAGCCTGCACACTGCGTGTTCTTCCCACTTGGGGGGCGTTCTTCCCACTTGGAAGTCCTCCTTCTCACCCACCTCCTGGTTGTGTCCTTCCGCTCAGCCAGAACAGCACTTTATTCTGTTCCTGGGAACCCCCATGAGCTTACCTGGCCAGGCTCATGTCTTCAGCAACCTCAGCCTAGTGAGCTATTCCTGGAGACAGCATTCTCTTTTAAAAGCTGGGCTTTTAAAAGATATTTTATATATATATATACATATACATACACACACACACATACACACACATATATAGTTTTATTTATTCATTTATTTCATTTTAATTTGACTAGAGAGGGGCAAAATGAGAGAGAGCAACCAAGGGAAAGTGAGAAACTAAGCCACCAGGGGCAGGCCTTAAACGTGATCAGCCATGTGGGAATGTCCGGCACCTTAACCACCATGCCACCTGCTGACCCTGCTGGGCAACTGGGAAGCCACTAACGCATCCTTCTCTGACTCCCTTTCAGGAACACGCACGCTCACGGCAGCCATTACAATCCTATCATGCAGCAGCCAGCGCTCTTGACCGGTCATGTGACCCTGCCAGCAGCCCAGCCCTTAAACGTGGGTGTGGCCCACGTGATGCGGCAGCAGCCAACCAGCACCACGTCCTCCCGGAAGAGTAAACAGCACCAGTCCTCTGTGAGGTGAGTGGCAAGACTACCAGGAAGAGAGCAAAACACCTTTTAGGATGGGGAATGTCAGCAGCTCGTGGGGGCTCCGGCCCGAGCGTAAGACCAGAGCAGCGACTCCTCCTGAGTAGCTGGGACCGCCCATACCACGTGGACTGGCCCGGGGTGGCAGGTCGCGGGCCGGGCTCTGCAAGCACAGCCCTGCCTGTTGCCTCCTCCTCGTCCTAGTCCTGCTGGCGCCCTCGGCTGGAGGCTCCAGAGCCACGTGCTTGGTGTCGAGAGCTTCTCTCCCATTAGTTCAGTGATACGCGTCAAAGCGCAGGTATCTTCAAAGGAAGGTTTCATTCAGGACCATCACGACAGATGCAGAGACCACTGCAGTGGGGTCTTGGGACAGAGAAGAGAGATCTTTCTCAACTCCAATACAGTATGGGCAAGTGAGAATTGATGGTCAAGGAGCTCTGTGGAGTCAGTGGGTGGAAAATTACAAAAAGGAGACATTGAGGGTCAAGGCAGTCCTGGCTACAGCACACTAACAGGGTTCTTGCTGCAGACAGGCCATGGTGAGCAGTCATCCCCTATGTGGTGGTGGAGGATAAGGAACCTCATTCAAGAGCTGGAGCATGGGAACCAGCAGTTAGCATAATGGCTATGTCGCTGGACTCCCACATAGTCGACCACGGTTCCCGTCCCGGACCTGGTGGCTTAAAACTCACGCTGGGCGCGTGTGCGTGCGTGCCCAAGATCTCCAGAGGAGAATGGAGGAGAAGGGATTATAGCGTGACCATACCCCCTGGGGGGTGATTTCTCGCTTTCTGTCTCTCTGTCTCTGTCTGGCGAGCGCATGCACCCTATAGCGAAAACCTCTCCAAAAAAAAAAAAAAGAGCTGGGGCATCATATACCAAAAGGGCACATTCTTTCCAAACTGTCTTAGGACTTTTGGTGGAAGTGGATCTTACAGGCGGCAGGTGGCATGGTGGTTAAAGGCACTAGATTCCCACATGGCCAAACATGGTCAAGTAAGGACCTGGTGGCTTCCTTTCTCACTTTCCCTCTCCATCTCTCTGGTCAAATTGGGAAATAATAATAATAAAGTTAAAATACAATGATTACAAAAAAAGAAAAAAAGAAAAGAAAAAGACAGTGAATTTTGTCAGGAAATGCACAGATGGTACCAGGAGAGGGTTCAAAAGCCTGGCTAAAGTGTGGCCAAGCAAAGAAGCTGTGTCATTCTCTCCTTCCCTAGAAAACACTTCGCTTCCCTGCAAAGTTTCACTTTGGCGAAGAATTACCATAGTAACTGTTTTTGTTTTTTCTGAGAGAGTTTTTTGCTCTAGGGTATGTGTACTCACCAAAGAGACAGAAAGTGAGAAATGACTCCCCCAGGGATGGCCACACACGTGCACATGCCCAGCATGAGTTTTAAGCCTCCGGGTCTGGGACTCAACCACAGTTGACTACATGGGAGTCCAGTGACGTAACTATTATGCCATCTGCTGGTCCTCATAGTAACTTTTTTTTAAATTGAGATTTTTGCGATAGGGCGCGTGCACTTGCCAGAGAGACAGAAAGCAAGAAATCACACCCCAGCGGGTTGGCCACAGAACAATCCCTTCTCCATTCTTGGGATTTGGGGGATGCATGCACACATACCCGCCATGTTTTAAGCCACCAGGTCGACTACAGGGGAATCCAGTGATGTAACCATTGTGTTATCTGCTGGTCCCCCCCTAGTAACTTTTTAAAGAATACTAGGGAAATGTACTGTCTTTGAAGCTTAAAATCAAAAATTTAACTCACTTAATTGCTTGTTTGAATGTAAGCAATAACTTCAGTTAATCACAAGTACCAGCCAACGGAACACTCATCTCGCCCATGTCCTTTAAATCCAGTTTCATCTCGCTGGACTCAAAAAATTAGGGATTGACAAAAGACTATGTGCTGTGTGATTCCATTTATGTGGCAGATTGGAAAAATCAAAACACAGAGATGGAGATCAGTTCAGGGTGGACAGACACCTGGAAGAGAGTAGGGGACTGAGTAGGAAGGACTGAGAGAACTTTGTTCCGGTGATGAAGAAGTTCTGCATCTGGATGTGGTGGAGGTTTATGACTGTACTTTGTCAAAACTCATCAAACTCTTCAAAAGGGAGAATTTGACAGAGTTAATTATAGCTCAATAAATCTGACTTTAAAAAATAGAGAAATTTCCAAGTCTCTCCTCCAAAAGAAATTACATACACGTATGTGCACTGCACACACATGAAAGAGGTCTTCGAAAAGTTCATGAGATGTGGGACCAGCAGCTGGCATAATGGTTACATTCCTGGACTCCCCTGTAGTTGAGTTTTAAGTCCTGGACACAGCGACTTAAAACTCACGCTGGGTGTTTGTGTCTTTGTGTCCAAGATCCCAAAAGGAGAATGGAAGATGAAGGATTGTGGTGTGGCCATCTTCCCTCGGGGGTGACTTCTCGTTTTCTGTCTCTCTGTCTCCAGTGAGTGCATGTGCCCTATAGCAAAAGTCTCACCTAAAAAAAAAAGAGTTCATGAGATATTTGTATTATTCAGAGGTGTCAAAAACTACATGAGTGTCAAAATTTTTTGCACCAAAATAAACTCATTAATTTTTCATTCTATTTCTCCATAATTTTTTTAAGATATTTTTGGGGGACCAGCAAATGGCGTAATGGTCGTGGCACTGGGCCCCCACGTAGTCGACCATGGTTTGAGTCCCAGACCTGGCATCTTAAAACTCATGCTGGGCGCAACGTGTGTGTGCCCAAGATCCCGAGAGGAGAATAGAGAAGGGATTATGGTGTTGCCATTCCCCCGGGGGATGATTTTTCGCTTTCTATCGCTCTCTCTGTCTCTCCCAGTGAACGCATGCACCTATAGCAAAAATCTCTCTTTAAAAAAAAAAAAAAAGGTTGTGTTTTGTTTTGTTTTGTTTTGTTTTGCCATAGGGTGCATGTGTTGGCTGGAAAGAGACAGAGAGAGGGAAAATGGGAATTCACCGCCCCCCCCCCAAGGGGGAATGTGCACACACATGCGCCTAGCGTGATTTTCAAACCCCTGGGTCCAGGACACAGACCATGGTTGGCCATGTGGGAATCCAGCGCCTTTGCTGCTATGCCAGCTGCTGACCCCTCCATGAACTTTTTAAAGTACATGTGTGCGCCTGTGTCTGTGTGTCTGTCTCAAGGTCATGAGGCTGCAGAATTACTCCTCACAATTCTTCGAAAAGGCAGTGGCTTGGGGAACCAGCAGTTAGCGTAATGGCTATGTCGCTGGACTCCCACGTAGTCGACCACAGTTCGCGTCCCAGACCCAGTGGCTTAAAACTCACGCCGGGCACGTGTGCGTGCATGCCCAAGATCCCGAGAGGAGAATGGAGGAGAAGGGATTGCGGCGTGACCATCCCCCCTGGGGGGTGATTTCTCGCTTTCTGTCTCTATGTCTCTCTCTGTCTGTCTGGTGAGCGCACGCGCCCTATAGCGAAAAACCTCTCAAAAAAAAAGGCAGTGGCTTGGAGTGCTTATCTGGGACAGGTCATATACTGGGAGCAGCCTGGTATGTAAAATGTCAGGTGGATTTTGCTTTTCTTCTTCCTCATACCCAGGTGCCAGAAAATTAGGCCTGCCTTTTTTCATTCTCATTCAAAAATTACTGCACGAGCTGACTTCATGGCATCGTCCTTCCTCAAGGTTCCTTATTTGAGCATTTCAGACGACTCAGGAAAACCCATCTGAAATTGGTGGCAGTCCTCCAGAATGCTTTTATTTGGCAGTCCTGTGACAGCACCGCCAGGTCACTGTTAGGCTGTGTGACCACAAAGCCTACCGCCTTGGTTCCCAGCAGTGAGCCTAGCCTCATCGGGGTACCTTGACTGAGTAGGGGCAGGAAGAGCTCTTAGCCTCCCACTCACACCTAGATGGCTTCATTGCCATGCATCTCAGGATCCATATCATAAGACCAGCAGATGGCGTAGTGGTTAAGGCGCTGGACACCCCACATGGCTGGCCACGGTTCGAGTCTCGGACCTGGTGACTTGCTGTCTCATTTTCGCTCCCTTTCTCTTTCTCACTCTATCTCTGTGGCTGGTCAAATTAAAATAAGTAAATGAATAAATAAAATTAAATAAATAGTTCTTTTTGAAAATCCCTATCATTATGATAAAATATGTGTTTGTCTATTTTTAAGACCAGTGCCTTAGGCAGAACAGTCTGAAAGACCAAAAGGCTCTTCCTTACTGTGGCCAGCCATTCTTTTTAACCTTGCCAAGTGGAGATACGCTGCTGGGAGAGTGACAACAGGGCCTCCGAATTACAGTATCAGCAATAACAAACACACGGGTTACTCTAAGTACAAGCAACGCAAAGCTCCTATCAGTAAAACTTCCTACCAGCACCCAGAAAGGAACAAGTCATGTGGCTGATAATCGGCTAGACAGAAATTTTTAAAATCCACCTTTCAGATTGTCTTCCTATTACTGCCATCTCTGTAGCTAGGAGGTGCTAGAGTCTCTAAAAACATGGAAGAGTCTGAGTTTCATTATACATTGGTTTTGTCGCTGTCTACATAAATACTTGTGGGGTCAGTGAAGGTTTTTTTTGGGGTTTTTTTTGAGAGGTTTTTGCTATAGGGCGCATGTGCTCACCAGACAGAGATAGACACAGAGACAGAAAGTGAGAAATCACCCCCCAGGGGGGATGGTCACACCACAATCCCTTCTCCTCCATTCTCCTCTCGGGATCTTGGGCATGCACTCACACGCACCCGGCGTGAGTTTTAAGCCACCAGGTCCAGGACGCAAACCGCGGTCAACTACGTGGGAGTCCAGCGACATAGCCATTACGCTAACTGCTGGTTCCCATGGGTCAATGAAGGTTTGATGGAAATAAAAGAAGGTATTTTTTTCCCCCTAAGTTACCAGAAATCATGTTGGCTAACTTAATAAGGAATTTTAAGTCAATAAGCAAGATTAAAAGGTCTCTTTTAAACTTGCTTTTCTACTTGTACTTTCTCTAACTTTTTATTTTTGAGAGATTTTTGCCATAGGGCACAAGCGCTTGCTGAAAAGAGAGACAGAGAGACAGAAAGCGAGAAAGTGAGGGATGGCCACACCACACACAGTCCATTCTCTTTTATTCTCCTCTCAAGATTTTGGCCATGCACATGCGCCTGGTGTGAGTTTCAAGCCACCAAGTCTAGGACTTGAACCGAGGTCGACCATGTGGGAGTCTGGAGCCTTAACCACTATGCCACCTGCTGCCCCTCCCCACTATTTTTTGTTACAGTTCAGACTGATGAGCCTTCCGTGAGGCTCATGGGTCCAAGTCCAGAAAAATCACTTTGGGATGTTTAAAAATCATACACACGCAAATACTCTAATGGCCACGTTGCTTTCCCAGGGAGGAAGGCAGGAAAGCTGGACCACGGGTTACCAAGGTTAGGTCTTTCAGATCTAGAAATTCTTAAGAAATAAATATTTTAGTTAGTAAATGGTTTAAAAAAAAAAAATTAGCCAAGAAATCAGAGCTTTACATGGCGGCTTCCACCTTCTTCACCACCCCTCCCCCAAAACCAGATTTAGGTACGCTGGGGAAAAGACGAGGCAGAGCTCAGACGCAGGGCCTTGCCCACAGACTCGTGGCAGACACATCCTGGAGGTTACCTTGCCCCTGCAGGACCGTCCAGTCCAGGGCGCACCTCTCCCTTCCGATAGCCCCGACTGCTTCTGAGTCCCAGAGCCAAACCCGAGCCCGAGACGGACTGCTGTCCTGCCTGTGTAGCCGCTAACCGAAAGGTCTCGAGGCAGCCACTTTTTCAGCTACGGATTGAGTCTAATTGTAACTTCTTTTTTTAATTGCCAGAGGGCACTCACACTCACCAGAGAGAGAGACAGAGGGAGAGAAAATCCCCCTCAACGGGGCATGGTGATGTCACCATCCCTTCTTCTCCATTTCTCCCTATTAGGATTTGGGGCATGCATGAGCCAAGCTTATTTTTCAAGCTGCCAAGGCCATGATTCAAACCAGTCTGCTCTGTAGGATCTAGCTCCCTTACCCACTATGCTATGGGGTAGCCTGACCCTCTAACTTTTATTTGGGGAATTTTGGCAAAGCTGGTGTTTCTAGGTAGTTGGGCTCCTTGGGAGGAGCCGTTGGGTCTGCCCTGCCCCACTAAGTATGTGGTTTTTGTCATTACAGAAACGTGTCCACCTGTGAGGTGTCCTCCTCCCAGACCATCAGCTCCCCACAGCGGTCCAAGCGCGTCAAGGAGAACACACCCCCCCGCTGCGCCATGGCGCACAACAGCCCAGCCTGCAGCACGTCAGTCACCTGCGGGTGGGGCGACGTGGCCTCCAGCACAACCAGGGAGCGGCAGCGGCAGACGATTGTCATCCCCGACACCCCCAGCCCCACAGTCAGCGTCATCACCATCAGCAGCGACACAGACGAGGAGGAGGAACAAAAACATGCACCCACCAGGTGAGGCAGCTCCTCCCGCGGACTGTCAGGAAGGTGCCAAACGCGGGTGCATCGCGTGGCCGGTTCACGCACGGCGACAGCCGTCCACATATCGGGCCATGCTGCATCATCACACATGACAGTCCCTCTCTCCTGAGTCCTGAATTTACGTTTTGCCTTGTCCTAAAGTCCTCACGTTATTTCAAGAAAATATCAAACAGATTTTTAATAATTATTCAAAACCAAAAATTATTTTTTAGTCTTCAAACATAGTTGCAGGCCCCATGCATTTATGGAACTTGAGACCATAAAAACCAGGCCCACAATGCCAGTGTATTTCAACCCCTATAAGCTTAAAAATTCCTGCCTCGGGCTATTGAATTTATTCCCAGTTGGTCAGGGTATTTCTGCAACGTTGCCTGGGCTTGCTCAGAATTCGAAGTAATTGTCCAATTAATCAGAAATTTCCCTGTGTCTGATTAACTCAATCTTTCAAACTGCCAGTTGGCTCTTCACCCAGAGAGCATTACTGTTTATTCCAAAGCAGTAATAATTCATTTTACTCTCTGTGGACTTCCTGGGGAAAGGGAAGTAATATTTATTATATTTCCAAGACTGTTCACCCTGGCGCCAGAGCCTCTTTTTCTACACTTTCCAGACAGCCTTCAACAAGATGTGGTTTTTGCACAAGCCACTCAGCTCGGATGGCGCAACCTTATGAACCCCTCAGAACAGCCTGTCCTCTCATCTCTGGATCCCCGAGTAGCCTCGGGGTCTCATCAGCCAAGTCTCTTGCTTTTTTTGGTCCTGGGACAAGTGCTGGGGTGGGAGGCCTGCCAGTCCCAAGGCCAGTGCTGCCAGGCACCGTGCATCCCGCCCCCCAGATGTGAAGCATAGCACTCCCAGTTAGGCCCAAGTTATTAATCCTGATTGGATACAATGTAACTAATTAGTAATCACAAACCTTTTTGATTAGATAAATTCTCACGCTTGAAATCATTACCAAATGTATAGACAGGCTGATTAAAACATTCTCATTAGAGCTAATCCTGCATGGGGCACCCACTCCCATCTTTTTTTTTTCCTTAAGTTATTTGTATATTCCACGAGAGAGACAGAGCAAAAGGCAACCCCAGCAGGATGGCCACACCACGATCCAATTCCAGTCCCAGCCAGCCCGGATCACAGGCGTGTGCATGCTGCCTGGCGTGCCCAGGGAGACCTCGAGACTCAAACCCAAGACCTTTCCATTGCTGATGGGTCCCGTTCCATTACCACTGCTCCAGCACCTGCCCGCCCTTCTTTATAATACATTCCAGAGGCTTGGAGTTTTTTGAGATTGGCCGGCATGGGTCTCATTGGAGTGCCCTCCTTGCCTGTGGCTTGGCTCGGCCTGACTGCTCTGTGGTGTGTTTCAGAGGACACAGTGGAGCCCGTCTGGTGCTCACATTGTGCCAGGCGCAGGGGGTACACTGGTTGGTGAGAGCAGACCTGGTGCTTCCCAGGCTTGCGGGCCAGTGCTGCTTTACTCCCCATCGACCTGTTTAGGATCGTCTCAGGTTCCCTTCTTGACTCCAGCTTCAGGTTGAATCAATGTTTCCGTCCTCCCAGAGTCTCCTTCCTTTACCTGATAATACTGGGGCTCAGTCTTCACATGGGCTCAGTAGTCCCTTCATGAAGAAAAAGGCACCCCCCAGGCCTGCCCCTGGCTTGGAACAGCCTGTCCATCATTCGTAGCACGTGTCCTAAGAAAGGACAAACAGCCTTGCACAGTCCTTTGTGATAATTGCAAAGACGCAAACACCATTTAAAAATCTACAGTCAGGGCCAGCAGGTCCTTGTTCCCCCCACCGATCTGATCTCTCCGCCCAGGAGCGTCTCATTCTGGTCCTGTGTGTCCCCTCCCCCCATTTCCTGTCTGCCACTTACCCCAGATCTAGCAGTTTGCTTCCCATCACCAGCCTCGTAGCTTTTGCCAAAATGCTGGTGAATTCCCCTAACACAGCCCAGCCTCAGCAAGAGTCAGGGGCAAATGATGCTCGCAGGGGTGGCATCCCCTCCAGTGCCTCCACCACTGACGCGAGACAAGTGACCCACCTTCTAGACCCAAGGGAGTTGCTAGATCTCCAACAAATTATATCAGATCGTCAGGACATATTTTGCTATGTTTTTCTATGCAAAACTGCATCGTGACTTTCCTGGTGACCCAATAAATAAGGCACGGTCTGGAAACTGATACACTGCCCTCAGAAGACTTTGGCCTGAAAAATTCACATCCACTTAACAGAGGGGGACACACACACTCATTTATTACCGCACAGGCAAGAAGCAACCCAAAGCAAAATTACTGTTCGTTGCCACCTGTGACCGTATAGCTCGCTTCGCTCCTGCTATTAAGAAGCTATTTGAGCCAACGTTGGCTGTGTTCCTGGGGTATGTGGTTCAAGCTTGAGCAAGGAACAGGGGAGCCCAGACACGTGGCATCATGTGAGGAGACTTGTTGCTTCCCAGTTTAAGTTAGAGCACCCTCCCAGAGTGTGAAAGCTATTTCAGTCACGGGACTCCTCTCATGCGATTGCCCAGCCAGCTTCGCTGTACCCTCTTTATAGGTCTCCATTGTTCCAACACTCCACCGGGCCCACCGCAGCCCTGCGCACTGGACTTGGCTGCTCGGGCCACCTGGGGAGCCTAGGCTCAGCTTTAGGTTTATAAGTCCCGGCTACTCAGGAGGCTGAGGCAGGAAGCTTGAGACCCTATCTAAGAAGGACCCCACGCAGACACTGCACTGGGTGGAGTCGAGTGGTCAGGGCTGCACTTTGCTCTCCCCCAGCTGTGAGTCCTCCTGCATCAGCCCTGCTGTGTCATGGCTGCCTGGCTTGCTTACTGTCCCCCAGTGCCTTCTGCAGGGAAGAGGGAGGAGGGGCAGGAGAGATGGGTACACAGGGCAGGCAGTGTCCGCAGATGGACCTATGGTGGTCAGGAGAGACAAGTCGGACTCTTGGGCTGGCGAGGAAGAGGGGGCTGCCTTGCAGAGAGAGGGGGACGGAGAACGAACAACTTCTTCTGCTGCAGCTGATGGGATGAGGGTGGGTTGTCTCATGGCTCCTGCCAGGCCCTTGTTTCTGACTTCTTCAGAGAGTAGTCATGTAAAAGATGACCTTCACGGCAATGCGTGTTTATGTGCCCATGGAGACACACACAGGGACGTATGCGCAGATGTATGGACGTGGGTGCAGTATGAATGAAAGGTCCGTGCCGTAGTAAAATGTGGATGTAAGTCAGAAGTCATAAGGAAGCAGTCAGCCAGGTGTTCAGGGTGGAGGAGCGTGGGAACAGCACAGCACGCAGCGTGTCCCCGGCATGTCACCAGGCTGGCAGCTCTCATTTATTGCTGGGAAGCTCTACGGGTGAACCGTCTCCTGCCCCGTACCTAGAAGAGACCCCTGTGACTGCGTGTGGCCCTGAAGGAGCCAGAAGGAGGCGTTGCCGTTTGTTTATATTTTTAGCGCTTGCTGGGTACCTCACTTGGCGGTCAGAGATCGCAAGCACATGACCGAGCATGCAGGCTCCGGGTTCGAATGCACAGGACCCCTGCTCTCCATATCGGAAGCTCACTGCTCTTTACCACAGGTCTTTCCGTGACTAAAGGGGAAAACAGAGCACTGAACAGTAGCTGCTGCACCTCCAGTAAACGGTGCCTGGATTCAGTAACCAGCGTCGTAGCAATAGAAGAGTACTTTGCACATGCAGCCTGGACTGAGAGATCAGAGACATCGCAGAGGGTGTTTTGGAAGAGATAGGTTTTGACCCTGTTCTTGAAGGAAGAAACTGACTGAGCTTAGCAAACAGGAATCAGAAACACACTCCAGATAGGACCCTGCAGGGAAGGGCTCACAGCTTCGTATACGATCCGCCAGCCACATTTGCTCTGTTGGGGCTGATTTTTCCACATCTTAGCACCTTGTTTCTTTTCTCATCTTAAAATGATGAAAATCATCTGTTGCTATGACAACACAGTGCCGTCGTGATGTCCAACGCTTTGTTCTTGGAGCAGAAGTGACTTTCTGTCAAGGCCGTTTCAGCGGATATTGCTCATTCTATTTCTGTCACTCTCATTTCCATTAACCTCAGCTCCTAACGGGATTGATAAGCTATCAATAATAGTTAGACGTAATAGTGGAATGAATCCCAGGAGGCTCAATATATACGAGCCTAAGGAATTCGCAGTAGCCATCTCGAATGTGGCTCGTTTTTAAAGCGACTCGTTGAACGGCTTCATTCGTCCTCCACTCTGCGGTGTATTCAGGTGGAGCATGGAGCTTTCTAACAACGGAAGGCACTTTAAACAGAGCTATCAACTTAGTTCACCTTTTCTGAACCCGTCACATGTAAATCCACGACGTAGGTGACTCAGCATGGAGCTGTGCTGAGCACATTTGCTCAGTCGGTGTAGGGGTTCCCCACTACAAGGACAGGACCCACGAGGCGCTCGAGCCCACACGCTGGTAGATTGCAAGATGCTGACACGCAGGGCCTTACACTGCACTGCAGCTTTTCAGTTTACAAATCTAAGTGAAGAATTCCAAATGAGCCCAGTTTGGATTTTATTTGAGGACAGATTACAGTCTGGCCAAAATCAATGTTGTGTTTATGTTTTGTTTGCTTGGGTCTGGTTTTTTGGGTTTCGTTTTTTCTTTCTTCTTTTTTTTTGGAGAGGTTTTTGCTATAGGGCGTGTGTGCTGGCCAGACAGACTGAGAGAGACAGAGAGTCAGAAAGCGAGAAATACCCCCCAGAGGGGATGGCCACACCGCAATCACTTCTCCCCCGTTCTCCTCTCGGGATCTTGGGCACGCACGCACACGCGCCCGGCGTGAGTTTTAAGCCACTGGGTCCGGGACGCGAACTGCGGTCGACTACATGGGAGTCCAGCGACATAGCCATTATGCTAACTGCTGGTCCCTGGGTTTTGTTTTTAATGTCAGCACACACAATAGCCAGCCAGAGAGAAAAGGAAGGAGCA